CGGCTTGGTGACAGCTCAGAGGCCTCTGTGGCTCATGGCCGAGGCTTACAAGGTAGCTGGATGCTGTGGAGGGGCCTTCCCTGGCGGAGGCTGACGCGAGGTCAAGGCTGGCCGGTGCCTCCATGAGATTCCTCAGACCGCTTCCGTTTTGAGGTTGCTCAGGTTCTTACCGAGATCCCAGCCCTTCCTGTGAGAGCGGAGGCCTGAGCCGAGGAGGAGCAACTAGCCCCAAAACAGGCGCGAGCCCCCTCTGGCAAACCAAGGCCACGGCTTGACCAGGGATGGGATGGCCGTGGAGGAGAGGGCGACTCCCACCTCGCACCTCCCCTTGGCCCTCCGCGGCGCTCGGCACGGCGCCGGGGCCGCGGCGCTGCCCTCCCGGAGCAGATCCTTTGCCCTCGCTTGCCTAGAGACGAGCGTCGCGGCCTGTGTCTCCACGTGGTTGTGCGGTAGATCCGGAGGAGGACCTTGGTTTTCACTGGCACCGCAGGGAGCTGCTCGTTTGTCCTGTCCTGCCAGTTGAGCAGGAGCCTCTAATTTTTCCTTTTCTAATGAGCTGTCAGGTCCAAAGTCATTGATTGCATTAACACCTGAGCGGTAGCCAAAAGGCGTCCTGGCCAGGCACAGCAACACCAGAGTAGTCCGTGAAGGAACCTGGCCCCAGACCCCTTCCCAGCGGAGCAGCGGCCTCCGCGGCAGGACGTGGTGTGTGATCCACGTACCGACCGGCGCTGCCGTTTCGGTGGCGCTGGGCACGGCAGGGTGGAAACAGCCGGCCGGATCCCTGTCCTCTGCTCATGCGTGGGGCTTGAAGCACCTCCTAGCAAGCAGGCCAAAGGCAGTTCTGGCGCGGGAATTGAGAAGGTGGGAGCCCTGGGCTTGGGGTTCTCCAGAAGAGGAGTTGCCTGTTGGTACTTGCTCTGTGTTCCTCATGTTTCTGGCATGTTTCTCCTTCCCCACAGATGGAGTCTCCGGTCTCGACGCCCGCGGTGTTGCCCTTGCACCTCCTCGTCCCTGTGGTCAACAACGACATCTCGTCGCCCTGTGAGCAGATCATGGTACGCACCCGCTCCGTGGGAGTGAATACCTGTGATGTGGCCCTGGCCACCGAGCCGGAGTGTCTGGGCCCTTGCGAGCCTGGGACCAGTGTGAACCTGGAAGGCATCGTCTGGCAGGAGACGGAGGATGGTGAGTGCCCTCGGAGAGTTCCTTGGCCTGTTGGAGTTACAATAACCCCCTTCTTCCTCTTCCCCTGCCCTATTCCTTGCTGGCACGTCCCAGGCTTCCTCCCCGCCGCAGTCTGGGTGGTCGGGACAGAGTGGCTGTGTGGGAGCAGCTCCTAAGTTGGGTTTTTAAACGTTAGAGCAAATGAAGTGAGCAGCCAAAACCCGCGTCAGCCCTGTGCGCTGTGCTAGCCCCTTGCCCAGGCAGTGGGTGAAAATCTAAACTGCCGTTTCTCTGCCTCGATGTGAGAGCTGCCTTGTTACTAGAGGTGCCAGAGAACAGCCCGTGCCAACCTGAACGGGAGCTTGACAGAGTTGACTTCATTTCTAGCTGGCAACCTGCAAGTCTGTCGCAAAAGTGCCCAAGCCCTGGGAGGCAGCAGCAATCTCCTGCTGGATAAATAACCCCAGCAGAGCTTTCAAAATAGGCTCGACAGGAGAGCAGGGCTCTGCTGCCAGGCCGATGGAACCTCTTTCCCCTGGAAGCCATCTCATGTGCACGGGGTTTGGTTTGCTTTCCCGAGTCCCTCTCTTTGATGGGTTTTAGCTGCTGCTGGGGCTCTGCCAAATGCCGCGGGGATGAATGGGTGCTTCAGTGCACCACGGTTAGCGCAGGAACCCGGCCGGCCCTGCAGCCTCCGCGGGAGGCTGGAGCCTCGGGCTGGAGGCCTCGGGTGAACCCCTTTACCTGCATGTGCTTCCAGCTGCAGTCTGAAAGCAGAAACGGAGAGCAGAGGCACAAACGTGAGGAAGAGCAGAGGGACAGAGGCCAGCTGGTTGGACGCCTTGGATGGAGCAGCATGGAGCTCCTCGTGGACCTCTGCCTCTGCTCTTGTTCTGCCTGGCGCGCGGGCAATGAAGGTGCTGGCCTTAATCCCTGCTCCCTGTCAGTGCTCCTCTGGCTGCTCTAACAGTGACTGTCTTCGTTATCTTTGATGATGATTGAAGCTGAACTGAAACTTGCTTTTCCCGAAGCAGGCCAGCGCTGCTACCATTTAGCCACAGGCTGGGGGGGGAAAAACTGCCGTGGCGCCCGCACAGCTCCCACTGGAGCTGTGCCTGTGTTCTGTGGTCTCCCCGCCC